GGGCAGTCCGTCTACCTGAAGGCCTGGAGGGGTAAACGGCAGTAAGGGCCCGGAGCGGACGCAGCCCGAAGGGAGATGGGTGTAGAGAGGCGTGGGGGCGGGGAGGGCAGTCATGAACGGCCTTTCGTGCCAGGAATTTGAACTTGAATGATTTATTAGGTGCATACTCTGTGCTAGGCACGGAGCTAAGTGCTTACAGGTCTTAGCCCACTTAATCCTCACGGCACCCTATGAAAGGGGCACTATTATGATGATCATTCCCATTTTATAAATGAGAGAACATGCAAATGCAGATGGTCAGAATGGCGCAGATGTACTCCAGCCTGGGGGACAGAGAAAGACTCCATCTCAAACAAAACAAAACAAAACAAAACTCAGAGTGGCTAAAACCACACAGCAATATGTTATAGATTAAAAATAAACTCACATCTAATTAGAAACGCTAAAGACTTGTAAAAGTGAAACTAATTAGACTTGATAGAAATAACCAACCCTAAAACTGACTGAAATCACAGTAGTACAAATTGTACTTTGTAAATTTTACAACTAACTAAAGTTTGATGGGAGAACAGAGTATTCTTACCAAAATTTACATCTGGACAAAGCTGACCTAGAAAAGTTGGACTCAGAAATAAAACACAATGGAACATTCACAGCGGGAGAAGGAAGCTTGCTAAAACTTAGGTATAAAAGCTGAAAAATCACATTTTTACTACAGAGTCTGGAAAGAAGAGCGTTTACTCCAATGCAAACAATTTTGGCAAAGTACAATTACAGAAAGAATGCTGAAAAATTTAGAAACGATATGTGCTTTCTAGAACACTGAATATGGGGTAAAATCGGCTTAGTGGGGTTTACTTAGGAATGAAAATGTCTAAGTATATAATATTTATTATTTATTCATTCCAGATAATGTTAGTATTTTCAGTAAATACATTTGAAACTATGATTATGGATTCCTTGGAGTACAGATCGTGGAATAAAAGCACGCTTTACTGGCTGCTGTGGCCTAAGAGGACAGAGGGAGGGCCCTGGGGGGGCTGGAGAGGGAGGGACAGCGTCCAATCAAAGGTCCTTTGCGGAGAAGGATCATGGGAGGTAGGGGATTTGGGCATTTAGGACACGGCAGGATTTCTTGAAAGACTGCATTTGCAAACCAGAGCTGTGAGTCACATTTCTCTGAGCGTCCACGGCCCGTTACTGACTTTCACCGTCTCTGCTGACAACAGCCGGAGCCCGAAGACCTCCTCACACCTTGCCTGGGAATAAGGGCAGGCACGTTCTTTCAAAACAAGAAGTGACAGCTGTGAAGAATATGCCTCTGCCAAATTTTCCATGTTGGGAAGAAACATTAGCTCCTCAGGGTATGTGGGGTGTCTGGAGGAGGCCCTCTGCTCCGTGAGGTTGGTGCAGAGCCAGTAGGAGAGCCACAGGAGCAATGCTGTGTGGGTTATTGTCTGTTTGTGGACAGAGGACCATTCAGCTCCTTGATATATTCATAATGTCATCTTTACCATGACGCCCTCCTTTCTCTTTCATTTCATCTACAAAGCAGCATTTAAAAGTCTCCTCTGGGCTGGGCACGGTGGCTCATACCTGTAATCCCAGAACTTCGGGAAGCTGAGGCGGGCGGATCACGAGGTCAGGAGATCAAGACCATCCTGCCCCATGTGATGAAACCCCATCTCTACTAAAAAACACACAAAAACTGAGCCAGGCGTGGTGGCCGGTGCCTATAGTCCCAGGTACTCAGGAAGCTGAGGCAGAGGAATCACTTGAACCCGGGAGGTGGAGGTTGCAGTGAGCCGAGATTGCACCACTGCACTCTAGCCTGGGTGACAGAGCAACACTCTGTCTCAAAACAAAACAAAACAAACAAACAAAAACCCCAAAAATGTTTCCTCTGGATTTCTAAGGAATAGTGAAGTTTATAGACTGGATACTTAGCATATTCCATTGACTCAAATATAAAAATTGAAAAAATAGCAAGCCTGCAAAACTAGTTTCTACTAGCACTTATACATGACAGGGATACCACAGAGATATTTCGGCCTTGGCTCCAGATCACCGCAGTAAAACAAATATTATAACAGATGAGTCACGCATATTTTTTTGGTTTTCCAGTACATGCAAAAGTTGTGCTCACACTATAGTATATTAAGTAATAGCATTATGTCTAAAAAATGTACATTCCTTCACTAAAAATACTTTATTGCTGAAAAAGCTAATAATCATTTGAGCTTTCAGCAATTCATGATCTTTTCGCTGGTGGAGGTCCTTGCCTTGATGATGGCTGCTGCCCGATCAGCATGGTGGGTAGTGAGGGTTGGGGTGTCTGGGGCAATTTCTTAAAATAAAACACCAATGAAGTTTGCTGCATTGATTGACCCTTCCTTTCATGAAAAAGCTCTCTGTATCATGGGATGCTGTTTGATGGCATTTTACTCACAGTAGAACTCATTTCTTTTTCTCTTTTTTTTTTTTGAGACGAAGTCTTGCTCTGTTGCCCAGGCTGGAGTGCAGTGGTGCAATCTTGGCTCACTGCAACTTTTGCCTCCCGGGTTCAAATGATCCTCCTGCCTCGGCCTCCTGAGTAGCTGGAACTACAGGCGTGTGCCACCACACCTGGCTAATATTTTTGTATTTTCAGTAGAGGTGGGGTTTCACCATGTTGGCCAGCCTGGTCTCGAACTCCTGACCTCAGGTGATCTGCCTGCCTCGGCCTCCCAAAGTGCTGGGATGACAGGCATGAGCCAGCCAAACTCATTTTAAAGTAGGAGTCAATCCTCTCAAACCCTGCTACTGCTTTTTCAACCACGTTTATGTAACATTCTAAGTCGTTTGTCATTTCAACCATGTTCACAGCTTCTGCAACAAGAGTAGATTCCATCTCAGGAAACCCCTTTTTTGCTCCTTTATAAGAAGCAATTCCTATTCATTCAAGCTTGATCATGAGATTACAGCAATTCAGTTCCATCTTCAGGCTCCACTTCTAATTCTCTTGCTGTCACATCTGCATGACTTCCTTCACTGAAGTCTTGAACTCCTCAAAGTCATCTATGAGAGTTGGAACGAATTTTTTCTAAACTCCTGTTAATGTTGATGCCTTGATCTCCTTCCACAGGTCCTGAATGTTCTTAGTGGCATCAAGAATGCTGAATCCTTTCCAGAGGTTTTCTATTTACTTAGCCCAGATCCATCAGAGGAATCACTATCCATGGCAGCTATAACCTTATGAAATGTATTTTTCTTTCGTTCTTTTCTTTTTTTCTCCCCTCCCCCAGCCTGAAGTATATTTTTGAAATAGTTAAGGTTTGAAAGTCAGAACAACTCCTTGATCCTTGGGCTGCAGCATGGATATTTGTTAGCAGGCATGAAAACAACGCTCATCTTTGCATATCTCCCACAGAGCTCTTGGGTAACCTGGTATATTGTCAATGAGCAGTAATATTTTGAAAGGAATTTTTTTTTTTCCCAAGCAGTAGGTCTCAACAGTGGGCTTAAAATATACGGTAAACCATGCTGTAAACAGATGTGCCGTCATCGAGGCTTTGTTGTTGCATTTATAGAGCTCAGGCAGAGCAGATTTAGCATCAACCTTCAGAGTCCTGGGATTTTTGACATGGTTCATGAGCATTGGCTTTAACTGAAAGTTACCAGCTATATTAGCTCTTAATAAGAGAGTCAGCCTGTCCTTTGATGCTTTGAAGCCAGGCATTCATTTCTCCTCTCTAGCTAGGAACGTCCTAGATGGCATCTTCTTCCAATAGAAGGCGGTTTCAACTACACTGAAAATGTGTTGTCTAGTGTAGCTGCCTTCCTCAATGATTTTAGCCACAGCTTCTGGATAACCTGCTGCAGCTTCCACATGAGCAAGTCGCTGCCTCACTTTCCACTTGCAGGTTTTGGAGCCGGCTTTTGTCCTTAAACCTTATGAACCAGGCTCTGCCAGCTTCCTGCAGCGTCCACACCTCTCTCAGCCCTCACCGAATTGAAGAGAGTTAGGGCCTTGCTCTGGAATGTGCGTTGGCTTCAGGAAGTGCTGTGGCTGGTGTGATCTTCTATCCAGATCGCTAACACTGTCTCCATATCAGCAATAAGGTAGTTTTGCTTACTTATCATTTGTGTGTTCACTAGAGTAGAATTTTTCAATTTTCTTCAAGAGCTTTTCCTTTGAATTCACAGCTTGGCTAACTGGGGCAAGAGGCCTAGCTGTCAGCCTGTCTCAGCTTTTGACAGGCCTTCCTCACTAAGCTTAATTTCTAGACGTATGACTCCTTCTTTCACTTGAACACATAGAGGCTGTTGTAGAGTTATTAATTATCGTGTCTCAAGGAATAGGGAGGCTGGAGGAGAGGGAGACAGACAAGGTAAATGGCTGGTCAGTAGAGCAGTTAGAACACACACAACATTCACCAAGTTCACAGTCTCATATCGACACCATTCATGGTGCCCACAAACACTTAACGATAGTAACAGCAAAGGCCACTGATCACAGATGACCATAGTGGATATAATAAATAATAAAAAGGTCAGGCCCGGCGCGGTGGCTCATGCCTGTAATCCCAGCACTTTGGGAGGCTGAGGTGGGCGGATCATGAGGTCAGAAGGCCGAGACCATCGTGGCCAACATGGTGAAACCGTGTCTCTACTAAAAATACAAAATTAGCTGGGTGTGGTGGTACATGCCTATAATCCCAGCTACTTGGGAGGTTGAGGCAAGAGAATTGCTTGAACCGGGGAAACATGTTGAAGTGAGCCAATATCGCACCACTGCACTCCAGCCTGGCAATAGAGCTAGACTGCATCTCAAGGGAAGAAAAAATTTGGAGTATGATCAAAGCGTGACATAGAGACAAGTGAGCAGAGACAAGAAGTGAGCAGATGCTGTTGGGAAAATGCTGTTAGACTTTCTAGACACAGGGTTGCCACAAACCTTCAATTTGTAAAAAAAATACAGTAACCGTGAAGTTCAATAAAGCAAAGCACCATAAAACAAGTAACTTTATACATACACCTCTATTTCCATGTTATATTCTGAATACAAGGCTGTTTATTGAGAATGTTGAACTACCAAAGTAGTATGTATAATCAACTATACAGAAATAGGAAACACTTCTTTGAATAAGCTACATACTTAAAATATGGTATGTTTAAGATATATTAATTAATTTAATACATTTGCTTGGATGCCTACCGGCTAAGGCACTGTGCTAGGAGCTATGTGTGCAGTTGAGTAAGGCACAGCCCTGCTCTTGAGGAGCTTACAAACTAGCAGAATGTGTAAGACACATGTACACGACAAGAGCTAGAAGTGATTTCTAATGTAAAGAGCAGCGAATGCTTTCTGCTTGGAGCGTGAGTTTAGTTGTCTTTGCAAAGGCTTCTTTCTTTTCGTAATATGCGGCCTCATTCACAAACACGGGGTGCACGGTACAGTCTCCGCCCAGTGGGATCGTCTTCCCGTCAAGAGTTAAGAACACGGGATCCCCAGGGTGCAGTGGTTTCCAGTCTTGATCCTCTCACGAAACAATCAAAATAAATACATTAGATTTGGCTTTTCTCCTTTAAAAATCTATGTCAGACACTAGACAACTAACACATTACAGTATTCCACTCTTTTAAAAGAGACCCCTGAGAGAGACATCGAGATTCAGGCAAGTGATCTGACTACGCTGAAATTGGGGAATGAATTTTGGCAGTAGTTTTAAGAGTTCCTGCCGGGTGCGGTGGCTCATGCCTGTAATCCCAGCACTTTGGGAGGCTGGATCACGAGGTCAGGAGTTCAAGACCAGCCTGCACAAGATAGTGAAACCCTGTCTCTATTAAAAATACAAAATTAGCCGGGCATGGTGGCAGGTGCCTGTAATCCCAGCTACTCGGGAGACTGAGGCCTAGAATTGCTTGAACTCAGGAGGCGAAGGTTGCAGTGAGCTGAGATTGTGCCACTGCACTCTAGCCTGGGTGACAGAGGGAGACTCTGTCTCAAAAACAAAACAAAACAAAACAAAACAAAACAAAACAAGTTCCCCTTTAAATTTTCACAATTGGCATATGTAACTAACATTTGCTTCAGCCAGGTGCAGTGGCTCACGTCTGTAATCCCAGCACTTGGGGAGGCTGAGGTGGGTGAATTGCTTGAGCCCAGGAGTTCAAGAGCAGCCTGGGCCACATAGAGATCCTGTCTCTAAAAAAAATACAAAAGATTAGCTGGGTGTGGTGCTGCATGCCTGTAGTCCCAGACACTCAGGAGGCTGAGGTGGGAGGACTGCTTGAGCCCCCAGAGGTCGAGGCTGCAGTGAGCTGTGTTCACACCACTGCATTCCAGCCTGGGTGACAGAGCGAGACTCTGTCTCTAAAAAAATTAAAATCAGTTTGCTTCAATACCAGATTTACCTTGAATGTAGCCAAAGGGATTGACAATATTAAAAGGCAGAACTAAATGCACGTCTATGTAAGTACACATTCGACCTCTTGACAGCTCAAGTTAAAGTCTGTTCAGCAAACTTTGGGACTCAGCCATTAAGAATCTTCTGTGTTCAGGACATTCTCCACTGGGAAACATAAAAATGAGCTGTGCTGAACCTGCATGCAAGGAGGTTCTATTCTGATTGGCGGGAGAAGGTGGTGCTGGGCTGGGGGAAGTCTGAGACGGGTGGGCATATTCCAAATGTGCTCCTACGCTGGGGTAACGACTGAGTTACCTGAAGGGTCCTGTACCGGGGACTTGGACCTTTGAGACCTCAAGCACCAAGGCTGTCACACCACAGGAACCCTGGAACGGTCCTTCTCAAACTTTGATGTGCTTGTGAATCATCTGGGGATTTTGTTTGCTTTTTGAAATGGAACCTCACTCTGTCGCCCAGGCTGGAGTGCAGTGGTACAGTGTGATCTCGGCTCACTGCAGCCTCCACCTCCTGGGTTCAAGCCATCCTCCTGCCTCAGCCTCCTGAGTAGCTGGGATTACAGGCGCACACCACCACACCCAGCTAGTTTTTGTATTTGTAGTAGAAATGGGGTTTTACCATGTTGACCAGGCCGGTCTCAAATGCCTGACCTCAGGTGATCCACCCAACTCAGCCTCCCAAAATGCTGGGATTACAGGCATGAGCCACTGCACCCAGCCTAGGATTTTGCTAAGATGAAGATTCTGGTTCTATAGGTTGGGGGCGGGGGCCTGAGACTCTGCATTTCTGACATTTCTCAGTAGCATCCACATCACCTAGGAGCCTGTTAGAAAAGCAGGATTTCATTATGCACAGCAGACCTGCCACATCCAAATCTTCACATGAATGAGTCCCCAGACATTTACCTGCACAACATGAATGCTGAGAACTGCCACATCACAGAGACTTTTCCCATCCTGGTGGCACATCATAATCACTCAGGATGCCAGATCACATGTACAGGTAGAGGGGCTGGCCCATGGCAGATAAATCAAATCAGAGTCTCAGAGTAGGGCCCAGGCATCCTTATTTTTAAATTTTATTTTAAAATTTACATGCAGTTAAATTCACTCATTTTTCTGTACAGTTCTGTGAGTTTTGACACACAGAACCTACAACCATGCAATCAGGATACATACTTTCTTTTTTTTTTGAGATGGAGTCTCGCTCTGTGGCCCAGGCTGGAGCGCAGTGGCACGATCTCGGCTCACTGCAACTCTGCCTCCCAGGTTCAAGTGATTCTCCTGCCTCAGCCTCCGGAGTAGTTGGGATTACAGGCACCTGCCACCATGCCTGGCTAATTTTTTGTGTTTTTAGTAGAGATGTGGTTTCACCACGTTAGCAAGAATGATCTTGAACTCCTGACCTCATGATCCACCCGCCTCGGCCTCCCAAAGTGCTGGGATTACAGGCGTGAACCACCACACCTGGCCGGATACATACTTCTTTTACCCCCTCCTCGAATCCCTCATGCTACCCATTTATAGTGGACTGCTTTCTGTGTTTATTGTTTTTAAGTCCCAGATGATTTACGGGGTGGCTCGGCTGAGAACCACTTTTCTGAACCGGTGGTTTTCAGGCAGAGACTTGCCCCAGAATCACTAAAGGAATGTCTTCAGCACAGACATGACTAGCCCTACCTGCGGAGATTCTGATGTCGTGCTGTGTGCTACATGAAAACCACCTGGTGAATTCAACTGATTCCCTGTCTACACTCAGGAATTAAATCAGAACCTCTGGGAATGGGACTCAGGAGTCAGCATTTTAAAAAAGCGCCGCAGGTCATTCTCATGTGGCTTGAGTTTGAGAAGCACTACTTGGCTACTCCAGGCTTTGGGAGGGCGTCCCCTACGTGATTCCAAGGAGCATCCCTTCCCAAGAATTACCGCTCTTAGGACAAAATCTAGACTCACAACCTGGTCCCAGACTGCGTGTTTTCCAGGCTCTGCCGTCCTCCGCTCACTCCTACTCTCCATGGACACAGGTATTCTTGCTGTGCCTCAAGTGCTCCAAGTTTGTCCCAGCCTCGAGGCCTTTCACTTGCCTTCCGCACAGCTGGCTTCTCATCTTCTAGGTCCCAACCTCAGTGTCACCATCTCTGAGATGACACTTTGTGACCACTCCATCGAACTGGAACCCTTTGTTACCCTCTGCTGTATCATTCTGCCTATTTCTTTTATAGCACTTATTATAGTTCGAAATGATTTGGTTTATGTATTGTTCATTTATTCATGGTGAGTTCTCCTCACCCATTAGCATGGATGCTCCATGAGGAAACTTCCCTATCTTTTTTTCCTGTTGCCCAGGCTGGAGTACAATGGTGCAATCTTGGCTCACTGCAACCTCCGCCTCCTGGGTTCAAGCAATTCTCCTGCCTCAGCCTCCTGAGTAGCTGGGATTACAGGTGCCTGCCACCACACCCAGCCAATTTTTTGTATCTTTGGTAGAGACGGGGTTTCACCATGTTGGCCAGGCTGGTCTCGAACTCCTGATCCCGTGATCTGCCCACCTTGGCCTCCCAAAGTGCTGGGATTACAAGCGTGAGTCACTGCGCCCGGCCAACCTTCCCTATCTTGAATCTCAGGGCCCAGAACAAGTTGTCATTGAAAAACATTTGTTGGAATACTTAACCAATCAATCCCTCCTGCAGATTACTGAGCCATTCCTTATTGTCTATGAAAACAAAGCTATCCTTCCTCACTTTCAAGACCTACCGCTAACCTGGTTTGCCACTGATCTCATTCATCTCACTTCCCAGCCTCCCCAGGATTATTTCTGTACTTCTCAAGAGTATCCTAAAACTTGAAGAATCCCATTTTAGCCTGTCATGACATCATGACCTTGGCCTCTGTTTCTTGTACTTGGTATTTTTGTCACCAGTGGTGATTTCTTCCTTTCTCTCCCCCAGTCTTTCTCTTTCTTTTAAAACACTGCCTAAGGCTTCTTCTTCTTCCTTTTTTTTTTTTTGAAATGGAGTCTCACTTTGTCACCCAGGCTGGAGTGCAATGGCACAATCTCGGTTCACTGCAACCTCCGCCTCCCAGGTTCAGTCGATTCTCCTTCCTCAGCTTCCTGAGTAGCTGGGATTACAGGTGATCACCACCACACCTGCTTAATTTTTGTATTTTTAGTACAGATGGGGTTTCACCACGTTGGTCAGCCTGATCTCGAACTCCTGACCTCATGATCTGTCCGCCTCGGCCTCCCAAAGTGCTGGGATTACAGGTGTAATCTCTATTAAAAATACAAAATTAGCTCGGCATGGTGGCACATGCCTGTAATCCCAGCTACTTGAGAGGCTGAGGCAGGAGAATTGCTTGAATCCAGGAGGTGGAGGTTGCAGTGAGCCGAGATTGTGTCATTGCACCCCAGCCTGGAAAACAAGAATGAAATTCCATCTCCAAAAAAAAAAAAGTATTTATTGAGTGACTGTCTGAGCATCTTCCCTACCCTCAGTGTCTTTGAAAGCATCAAATGAGTGAATGTACATCAACTGCTGTATGAACTGTAAACTTCTACTCAAAGATACAGCATTATGATTTTCAACATTTTAAAGAAAGAATAAATGTTACCTGCAGATTAGGATGGATGATAGCAGCAATTTCTCCGTTTTCATTCCTGGGGTAATCCACTTTCTCCATAATTTTATAGACCTCAATGGTACAGGAAGGAAATTCTTTTCCTATGACAAAAACAGTATGTATAAATGCCAAGTAAAAAAATCTCTAGTCCGGGGCACAGTGGCTCACCCCTGTCATCCAAGCACTTTGGGAGGCCAAGGCTGGTGGGTCCCTGAGGTCAGGAGTTTGAGACCAGCCTGGCCAACTTGGTGAAACCCCGTCTCTACTAAAAATACCCAGCCGTGGTGATGGGCGCCTGTAATCTCAGCTACTCAGGAGGCTGAGGCAGAAGAATCTCTTGAACCTGGGAGGTGGAGGTTGCAGTGAGCCGAGATCGTGCCACTGCACTCCAGCCTGGGCAACAAGAGTGAAACTCTGTTTCAAAAAAAAGGAAAATCTCTGGAAAAAGGGAAGTTGATAATGTAAGGAAGAAGCAGTAACAACAGCGGTAACAAAATGAAGACAGCGATGGTGAGAACAGATCACGTTTGGTTAAGGATGTTCACAGACAACACGCAGCAAAAGATGTTCTTCAGTGATTCCTGTCGGCTCTCTGTCCACAAACACACTGACGGACAGAGGTAGAAAACAGAACTTAAAAAGCCAGTTTGGGAGAAAAGGGATCTAGGACTGGGAGTCAGGAGACCTGGGCTCTAATCTCCTGGCTCTGTAGTCTTGAACAAGATGCTTAGCTTCTTGAGGCTCAATTTCTTTTCTTTTTTTTTTTTTAGAGATGGGGTTTCACCATATTGGCCAAGCTGGTCTCGAACTCCTGACCTCATGATCCGCCCACCTGGGCCTCCCAAAATGCTGGGATTACAGGTGTGAGCCACTGCACCTGGCCGAGGCTCACTTTCTTTACCTGTCAAATGAAGGTATTGGATTAGCTTATCTTGGAGGGCCCTTTCGGCCACGATATTTTATGACTGCATACATTCAGGAGGAGTTCCAGCTGTGCTTTTTTTTTTTTTTGAGACAGTCTTACACTCTTGCTCAGGCTACAGTGCAGTGGCGTGATCTAGGCTCACTGCAACCTCCTCCTCCCGGGTTCACGCAATTCTCCTGTCTCAGCCTCTCAATTAGCTGGGACTACAGGTACACGCTACCACATCCAGCTAATTTTTATATTTTTAGTAGAGACAGGGTTTCACCATGTTGGACAAGATGGTCTTGATCTCTTGACCTTGCGATCCGCCTGCCTCAGCCTCCTCAAGTGCTGGGATTACAGGCGTGAGCCACCGTGCCTGGCCTCTTTTTCTTAAATAAGTACATTAAACACTGGACAGCTCCCAAGCAATGAAATCTTGGGATGCAGGCAGCCGCCAGTGGTGGAGACCAACTTCCAAAGATGCAGCAACATCAAACAATTCAATTCCCAGAAACTTGGAAAACGAGTAGTTTACATATATACCAGGCTATCTGAGCAAACAGTATGAACTTTTGGTCTAATATAGGGCCCACAGCGTGTTATGGCCACAACTGAAAGGAAAGGCTTCCTTTGCCGTTAGAGCAGAGTTAGCATGGGGATAGCCAGTGATCACTTCTCTATCAGTTAGCTTTTGCTGCATAACATACTATCCCAGATTTGGCAGCTTGAAACAATCGCCTCTTAATTTAGTTCATGATTCTATGGGTTGGTTGGGAAGTTCCTTTGGTCTACGCTGGCTTTGTTGATTTCTGATTGTTTCGTTCATGCCTTTGTGGTGAGCTGACAGCTCACCGGGAAGCTGGACCATATGGAATGACCTGACTCTTATGTCTGATGGGCTGTCAGTGGGAGTTGCATGACTGTCTGTGAGGGTGCCTGAGTTTTCCACCTCATCGGCTTCCATCATCCAGCAGGCCAGTGTGGACTGGTGCACATAAAGGTACATGTACAGGGCTTCCAAGGGCAGGAAGAGAGCAAGCTGCAACGTGCAAGCGCTTTTCAAGCCTTTTCCGTGGCACAAAACAAGTCACATGGCCAAGCCAGATAGTCAAGGAGTGGGAAAATAGACTCTATCTCTGAACAGAAGGATATGAAGCCTCACACTGCCAGGATGTGGACGCCGGAAAGGGAAGAATTAAAACCTACCATGCCTTCCAAGATGAAGATGGGAACTTAACCAGATCTCATGTCTTTAAACCAGAAAGTTTGATAGGAAGAAAGTAAAAACTGATGGAACACAGAGGAGTATGTTTTTGCTACTTAGAGTTGGAAGGAGGCTTGAGAGCCTAACTTCCATCTATGTTTGAGTATTGTCCATACTGTCCCGGCCACGTAGTCATCTTACTGCTGCATGAACAGCTTCACAAAGTGTGGCCTGTTTCACGGCTGCTCAGCTTTGTTAATAAGAAACTTCTGTCTTGCCAGGCGCAGTGGTGCAGGCCTGTGACCCCAGTGCTTCGGGAAGCCGAGGCTGGCAGATTGCTTCAGCTTAGGGGCTTGAGATCAGCCTGGGCAACATCGTGAAACCTCATCTCTACAAAAAAACACAAAAATTAGCCGGAGTGGTGGCGCTCGCATGTAGTCCCAGCAACTCAGGAGGCTGGGTGGGAGGACTGCTTGAGCCCATGGGGTTGAGGCTCCAGTGGGCCATGGTTGTACCACTGCCCTCCAGCCTGGGCCAGAGAGTGAGACCCTGTCTCAAAAAATAAAAAGAAGAAAAGAGAAAAATTTGTGCCTCTAGTTAACTTTATCTCATTGATTCTCTTCTGCCCTCTGAGTCACAGAAAATATGTCTAATTTCTTTCTAATGTAGACTTCTTTCTTTTTTTTTTTTTTTTTTTTTTTTTTTTGAGATCATCTCACTCTGTCACCCAGGCTGGAGTGCAGTGGCAAGATCTTGGCTCACTGCAACCTCCGCCTCCTGGGTTCAAGTGATTCTCCTGCCTCAGCTTCCAGAGTAGCTGGAATTACAGGCGTGCACCACCACACCCAGCTAATTTTTGCATTTTTAGTAGAGACGAGGTTTCCCCATGTTGCTCAGGCTGGTCTTGAACTCCTGACCTCAAGTGATCCATCTGCCTTGGCCTCCCAAAGTGCAGGGATTGCAGGCATGGGCCAGGAATTACTCTCATTATGGTTTTCAAGCTCTTCAACATTCTCAATGTCTCCTTGGCTAAATTCCTCTTTGTAGACGTTTCTCCTGGATTATTTATTTACAGTTCTCCAGTGTTGTTTATTCAAGGCAGAAAAAAGACCATTACCTCCCTTATTCTGGGATTTTTTTTTTTAAACATAAGAGCAAAACTTTGTCCTTGATGTTGTTAACCTTTAACGTTTGGGTTAAAAAACTGTTAAAGATTGCCAGGACTTCTTGGATCTGCCTTCTAAACCAGGGTGTTTCCCTGCTACCTTCCTGTGACCTGTCATTCAGGTCACCAACTATAATTCTGAGTAGTACAGAGTCAAGGATGAAGCCCTTCTACATACGTCTTGAAACTTTTCACTAGTTGAGTCTGATTCATTTGTCAGCATTCTTTGGATACGGGTGCTCAGTTGAAAATCCAGCAAGCTGGATAGTCTAAATGAATTGTGGTTGACAATTTTTTAATTGCAGAATCCTTTGTTTAAATGAAATGTTACACAGAAGAGCTACGACATACAGAACAACTCCGGTTGAGGCAGAGATAAGGAGTGAGGTATTCCAGGAACTGGTTTTCTCCACCCTGTGAGAGGATTCTATGGCCCATAATCTGAAAATCATGTTTTCCACCCAGATTTGTGGTCTTCTATCTGAATGTATCACTTCTTTTTTTTTTTTTTTTTTTTTTTTTAGACGGGGGTTTGCTTTTTTTT